TCAGCACTTGGGAGACTGAGGCAGGATTGAAGTGAGTTTAAGGCCAGCCTGTGCTAGGCTACAATGTGAGACTCTGCCTCAAAAAACAACAAACAAACAAAAACTAACCCCTGGGTTGGGAAGGTGGCTCAGCTGGTAAAGTGCTTATAAGGCACGTGAACCTGACTTTGATTCCCAGAACCCAGCTGAAAAGCCAAGTGTGGTAGTATGCACCTGTAATCCCAGCCCTGGGCAGATGGAGACAGATGGATCTGTGGGGCTTGATGACCATCCAGCCTAGCTTTATTAGTGAGTTCCTTGTCTCAAAAAGCAAGGTGAGCCAGGAGTGGTGGTGCACATCTTTACTCATATTGAGTTCCAGGTCAGCTGGGGCTACAGAGAGACCCTATCTCAAAAACCAAAAATCAAAAACAACAAAAAACCCCCTCAAGGTGAAAAGCTCCCAAGGAATAATACCTGAGGTTGACCTCTAGCTGCCGCACATGTTCTCATATACATGTGTACTTAAACAGACACAAATACATGCATACACACAGCATTTTAAAAACTAACCCCCCAAAAGAGACACCAGTCATAGGTAGCTGGGACCCACAGACAGTGTATTTAGAAAAAACATGGTACTTAACATGTATCAAATGAACTTTCTTAGGTCTCTAACTTGAGTATTCATGTGCTGAGTATTTACCTGTTGTGTACATTATTATCAGGTGCCTGGTCATTCTTAAGAAGGTGGTCCCTACACCCATGGGCCTTCTAGATGCTGAGGGAACAGCAGAGAGCAGCACACCCTTGACCCCTTCCTTGTGTTGGAACTTACCTTCTAGAAGGTACATAGGTGACCTCAACTTCTTGGGTCTGTTTTATGAAATACTCAGGAATCTACTGGGTATATTCATGGCAGAATTCAGTGTTTTATTTTATTTTTTTAGATAAAAAATTTTTAAATTTTAGACAAAAAATTTAATTGGCCAGGTGCAGTGTTCAGGAGGCAGAGGCAGGCTGATCTCTGTGAGGTCCAGGCCAGCTGGGGCTACAGGGAGACCCTGTCTCAAAAAACCAAAAAATTTCATTTATTATTATTGTGTGTATATGCATGATGTGTGTGTGCACATGGAGATATGCCATGGTGCACGTGTAGAAGTCAAAGACAACTTACAGAGTTGATTCATTCCACCTTTTAAAAATATTTTATTTTTTGTCTTTTTGAGACAGGGTCTCCCTGTAGCCCCAGCTGTCCTGGAACTCACTATGTAGACCAGGCTGGCCTCGAACTCACAAAGATCTGCCTGCCTCTGCCTCCCAAGTGCTGGGATTAAAGGTGGGTGTGTTATTTTTATTTTATGTGTATGAGTGTATTGCCATGTATGTAAGTGCATTCGTGTCATGCAGTGCCCATGGAGGTCAGAAGAGGGTGTTGGATCCCCTGGAACTGGAGTTAAGGATGGCTGTTAGCCACCAAGTGGGTGCTGGGAGTCAAACTTGGGTCCCTCTGCAAGAGTAGCCAGTGCTCTTAACCACTGAACCAGCTCTCCAACTTCCCATTCTTTCTACCTTTATGTGAGTTCCAGGGATTGAACTCATGTTATCAGGCTTGGCAGCAAGTGCCTTTACCAGCTGAGCCATCTGCCCCCCCATTTCTTTTTTACAGGTGTGTGTACCACCAATTCTGGCTTGTGCTGGTTTCTTTCTCCCCTCCCTCCCTCCTTCCCCTTTCCTTCCTTCCTTCGTTCCTTCCTTTGTTCATTCGTTCTTCCTTTTCTTTCTTCCTTCTTTCCTTCCTATGTATATGTGTGTGTATATAATGTGAGGGGGGTGTCATGGCACATGTGTAGAGGTCACAGGACAACTTTTTGGAGTTGATTCTCTCCTATGTGGGTTCTGGGAATTGAATTCAGGTTGCTACACTTGTGTGGCAAGTACCTTTACCTGCTAACTTATCTCCCCAGCCTTTTAATTAGAAAAATTATTTATTTTTTATTTTATGTGTATGTGTGTATTGCCTGCATATAGGTAAGTGCACCTGTGTTGTGCAATGCCTGCGGAGGTCAGAAGAGGCTGTCGGATCCCCTGGGACTGGAGTTACAGACTGTTGTTAGCTGCCATGTGGGTGCTGGGATTTGAACCCAGGTCTTCTGCAAGAACAATCAGTGTTTTTAACTGCTGAGCCATCTCTCCAGCCCCCTTCCCAGCTTTTTAAAAGATTTTTTTTTGAGACAGGGTCTTGCTATGTAGCCCTAGTTGGTCTGGAGCTATGTAGACTGCGCTGCCCTCAAACTTTCAACAATCCTTTGGCCTCCAATTATAAGCATATGACACCATGCCTGTTTAGTATTGGGTGTCAAACCTAGGACTTTGGCCACTCAACCAAATGAGCTTTACCTCCAGCCCGTTTCTTTGAAACAGGGTCTCATGTGGCCCAGGAGGTCTCGAACTTACTGCGTAGCTGAGACTGGCCTTGAACTTCTGATCCACCCGTTTCCATTTCCCGAGCACAGGTATTACAGGAGTACACTATCACACTCAGCTTACCAAGTGTCTCTGTGTCCCCTATGTTTATACCCTGATGGCCCATGTGACTAGTTTGTGTGCAGATGGGGTGGGGAATTCCTGTATTTATTTGAGCTGTGTATACACTGTGGGGTCCATTCTGTGCTGGGACACTTATGTGGGTGTGTGGTTATTATGCATTATTGCCCAAGACCCCGTACCGGCTTCCTATGCACAGGGGTAGATATCTCTTGCATTCACTTGTTTTGTGTATGCAGTGTGAGTCCCACGGGGCTGCTCCATACAGGGAGTAGTAAGTAGTTCTGTGTCGGCTGTGCACACGCTGTGCAGGTCCCAGGTACTTACTCTGTACGCCCGCGGGGTAGGTGTTTCCTGTATTTATATCTGCTAGGAACTGCGCTTGCAGTGTAGGTCTCAGAAACCCTTTCTGTACACGTGGGCAGTTGGTGATTCTGGTATTTTTCCCACATCGCAGGCTCTAGCGTGCCCACTCGGTATACACAGGGAACCGGCGAAGCCTTCTCAGTAACAAAGCCAAGGGTGGCTGCGGCTAACAGGCTATCAGTCGAGATTGCTCGGCGCGTGCCCGCGGCTGTCCTCCTCTTTCTTCCTCCCTTCCCCAACACCTCCCCCTTCCCGGGTCCGGGTACCACTGATTTCCCTATTCTCCTTCCTGCACCTCCATGGCCCTACCAGCAGGGGGCGGAAGCCCGGCGCCCTCTGCTGATCCGATGGGGACTTTGCCCTGGTCCATGGCCCTTTCCAGCTCTGCCTCCCTTTTCCTCCTCCTCTCCAAGAGGCCGTACAGTGTCTGGCACCCAGGAGGTGTACATGAAGGGGACAGTGCCCTCCTTTCGTCTCTCCCCGCTTCCTGCTGTTCTTGCCTTACCCTCTCCTGGCAGTGCTCCCTGGACTTTGTCATCCTCTGCTGTCATCCCAACCTGCCCCTTCCTGCTTTTTCAGAGCTGTCTTTGCTCCACCTCTCCTCTATTCCAGGTCTCAGTCTCTCTGTTGGACTCTTATCTCTTCCTGTCTCTGACTCGTGTCTCCCTACACATCTGTGATCATCAGAGAGCCCCTTCCGACGTCTTGTCTCCACTCGGCACCATCTCCCTGTCTCCTTAGTTTTCTCTTTTCTGCGTCTCTCTTGGTCTGACCACGTCTCTCTGTTTCTCCACGTCGCCTTCTCTCTCTCTCTCTCTCAAAACTTCAGTCTTTGCTTTTGTCTCTCCCCGTGGCCCTTCTTTCTGTCTCTTTTTGTGTGTTCTAGTCTCTGAGCTGTCCACTTCTCAGAATCTCCGTTTGCAGCCCATTGCACTCTGTTTACCTGTCACGGAACTTACTTTCAGTTTCGTTGTCTCTGCGCCCCTTTCTCTGTTCCTTTGGTCTCTGTTGGTGTCTCTCTGGTGTACATTCCTTCCCTCTCACTGGCTCTTCCGCTCTCTCAGATTCTGTGGGCCTCGCTCTTAGGTCAGTTTCTCTCTGTCTCCGTGCCTTCCTATCTCTGGATCTTTCTGCCTCTTCCTCCTTCTCCCTTCCTCTGGCTCTCGTTCCCTTGTTTGACTTCTAGGTCTATCTCTCTCGTCTCTGTCTCTTTGTGGGTCTCTCTCTGTGGGTCCCCTTCTCTGTGCTAACTTCTTGGCTCTCTTCACTCCCTGGTGTGGATCTCTTTTCCTTATCTCTGATGTCTCTGTGGTTCCTGGTGCCCTGTCTTTATACCCAATATGCTTCCCACACTCTCATCCCTGGGTCTGTGTGTTTCCGTATCTCTGGCCCTCTCGGCCTCGGTCTCTCTCTTGCACTACCCTCCCTCTCCTTCCCTTTCTCTTTGTCTCTGAGTGTCTCTCTGCGCCTCTGGCCTTAGGGCCTCTCCTTGCCTTTGAGTCTCTCTCTTCTGCCTACCTCTCTCCATCTCTCCACTTTCTCTGTGCCCTCGTATCTGTTTCTCTGTGTCTCTGAGTATTTCTGTGTCTCTATCACTGAGTGTCTCTACCACTGAGTGTCTCTCTATTTCTGGGTGTCTCTAGATGTCTCTATGAATCTCTGGGCCTTTGGGTCTCTCTCTCCTTGTCTTTGAGTCCCCTTCAGTTCCCTACCTCATCTTCCTTTCCCTATGTCTCTGTGTCTCTCGTGTCTCTGCGATCTCTGTGTCTCTGTGTCTCGGGGCTTCCCCTTGTGTCCTAGTCCCCCTCTATTCCCCACCCTTCTCCCCTTTCTCTGTTTCAGCGTATCTCTGCATGTCTCTGAGTCTCTCTGTCTCTGTGGGTCTCGGGCCTCTCCCTGGCTCTGGGTCCCCTGCGCTCCCCGCCCTCTCCCTCTCCCTCTCTCCCCCCCTCGCTCTCTTGCTCGCGCTCTCTCTCTGAGCATCCTTGGGCCCGGGGTTGCCATGGGGACAAGGTGGGAGCCGGGGATGGCGCGCGCCTGGGCTCGCGCCGGCAGCTCAGGCGAGGAGCAGCGGCCAGAGCAGCGCCAGCAGCAGGCAGCGAGCGGGCGCGGGAGCGGGAGCGGGAGCGGGGGTAGCGTTGGCGGCGGCGGCTCCTCCTCGGCCATCCCCTCGGAGCCGTGCAGCTGACGCGCATGGCGAAGACAGCGGCGCCTACCGATGGGAGCAGCGGTAAGGCAAGGCAGCGCGGCGCAGCCGGGCGGGCGGGCGGCGGGCAGCCTCCTCCTCTCCCCAGCTCGCCTGCGCGCCAGCCCGCCCGCCCTCCCTTCCTCCCTCTCCCCTCGCAGCCCCTGCCCGCCCGCCCGCGCCGCGCTCGCCCTTCCATTTAAAAATCTTTAAAACTTTGCATATTAATATCTGCGCTTTGCATAATCTGACCCGCGCTTTATTGATTGCAAGAAGCTTAATGCAGCCGGCTCGGCCTATTGCAGAGAGCTCTCCGGGCGGGAGCCGGGCGGGCGCCGCTCGCTCTGCACCGCGCTCCGGCTGCCCGCACGGCTGCGGCCCCGGCCCTCTCGCCTCCCTCCCGGCGCGGGGCTTTGCCCCCTGGCTGGGTATTTTTATTATTTGGGGGCGAGGTGCGTGTGTGTGTGTGGGGGTGGGGGGGAGATTGGGCTTGCTGTTGGTGGCAGTGAGGGAACCAAAGGAGAGATGGGGGAGGGTGGGATGGGAAGAAATGGGGACTTGAGAGGTAAAGAGGGAGAAAAAAAGGGGATAAGGCGCTAAGGATGGGGGAAAAGAAAGAGACGTGGAGGGGCCGCGGGAGAGAGAAGGCAGCCGGCGGAGGACGGAGCTGGAAGGACGGAGGAGCCGAGACAGAAGAAAGAGGGAGGCGAGGAGCGCAGACTAGAGAAAGAGCCGGAGACAGCCCCGGAGCTGGCGAGAGAGGCCGGCGGCGGGGGAGTCCTGGATGCCGCCCCCCAGGCTCCCCCCAAAAAATAAAGAAAAAGGGGAAAAATCATTCCAATAAAAAGATGCTGAAAATAAAACACATCGCTGCCGGGGCCACCGAACACAAAAAGGACTGAGATTGGAGACGCGAGGCGAGGTGGCATCCGCTCCTGGCTGGCGGCCGCGCTTCGGAGAGGCACCCCGGGCTGGGAGGGACTCCCATTTTAACCCTGCATTTGGGGAAGGGGCGACTGTGGAGAAAAAGAGGCGGGGGGGGGGGCAGGGCTGGTAGCGGTACCGCCTGCTTTTTTTTTTTTTCTTTTTCTCTTTTTCCCCCTCTCCTTTCCTGGGGGTGTGGGGGCCGGTTTAGTATGGTGATCGTTGGTGATGCTGTTTGAAGCTCGGAAGCAAGCAGGGTGCATGGGGGGGAGAGGTAAGGGCACTGGGAGCCAAAAGAGGCTGGGGGTGGGAAGGGGGGGCGAGAGAAAGGAACGGGGTGCCTTGGCCAGCAGGAAGGTGGGAAATGGGGAGCCGAAGCAACTGGGATGGGGTGCCCAGAGGCGGTGGCGCGTCTCAGTCTGGAGGACAGATGGAGAGCCCAGGTCAGGGGGGCTCCAGAGTGATGTTAGGGAGCCGCGGCGCACCCCTCAGCTGTCTGGGCAAAGTCTGTAACTTGGTGAACCCCTTCGGCTGCCCTCTTTCTGCGTCCTATCCCCCGCCCCGTCTCTTTGCCTCCTGTTCCGTCCTTTTCTTTCGTCCTTTTCCTTCATCTCTTCCGTCGCTTCTCTCTCTCTGCTTCCCAGTTTCTTCCTCTTCTCCCCTGAAGCTTCTCATCCCCTTCCCAGGTTTTCTTTTCCTTTCCCAGCTCTCTCCACCACCTTTTCTTTCTTTCTCTCTCTTTTTCCCCTCCCCCACCCAGTTCCCCCTTTCTTTCTTTCTTTCTTTCTTTCTTTCTTTCTTTCTTTCTTTCTTTCTTTCTTTCTTGGCCACTCATATCCCCCCCACTTCCCACCCCTGCCGTGTGTCCCCCCCCATCTTCATTTATTCACTTTTGCAGCATCAGCATTGAACAAGGTGCCAGGGAGATGGGTTCTGTGCAAAAGCAAGGACCCCCTAACCACCACCCCCCCAGCTTAACCTCTATGCCCAAATCTCACAGATTTCTGTCCTTGTTTCCCCAGCTCAGGGAGGGGGTCTGGGTCAGCCCTCTGGGTCCCAAGGCCACCCCTTATTTCCTTTTGCTTAGGTTTACTGGGGTATGGGAGGGGAAGGAGGATCCTAAGTGAGGGCTCAAGACTGTGGACTGAGCCCCACTGAGAGAGAAGGGTGTGGACAGAAGAAAACCACACAGATAATGGGAAAGGAAAAGAGGAACTGGAATGTGGGAGGGGGCAGTGTCTCTAAGAGGGTCTTTAGAGCTTTTGAGTCTCAGGTAAAAGACCCCAAGAGAAAGGCTCTGGCCTCCTGACCACTCCCCACTTTCTTCATTCTGGGGCCTGTGGAACTGAGGACCAGTAAGTCTTGGATTCAGAGAAAGATCCAATCAGCCACTTAACTCCATAGCTTATAGACTATTGCTATCCCGACAGGTGAATTTGTACTCCAACCCAGGGGTATAAGGGGAGGGTGAGGAGTCACTACATGGTGGACAGCGGGTGTGTGCAGAGCCAGACCATGGCGGCAGCATGTGTGTACAAGGCCTGTGTTGTAGCAAGAGGTGTTTGGGACAGACTAACTGTGATCAGGGTTCTAGAGCCTCAGCAGAGGAGTCAAAAGTGTGAAATCGTGACATATGTTTTCAGTGAGGGGAGGGTCAGGTACCTACGGTCCCCCCTGTGGGTTATATAGGTACAAGACGGAGTCAGCACATGTGTTTGTGCTGGTCTCTCTCGCCTTGATGTTTTCCTACCATCCATGATATGTGCATTCAAGGAGACCCTCTCTGACTCTGTGCGTGGAAGTGTCCACTCGTATGCAGGTCTGTGTTCTAAGTCTGGTGTCATCGGTGGACACGTGACACTCTTATGTGCAGCATGTTTGGAGTAAAAGCTTCTGCATGCGGTTACTAGGTCTGTACATTGTAGTGTGTGTACATTAAAGTCACGTATGTGAAAGTGCCATTTCTGTACAGAGCTATTATTATTGTTGTTATGGGGGGGTTCTCTGTGTGTCCTAGATAAGAGGGTAGGTGGATTTGTGAAGTAAGGTCTAGGTGGAATGTGGAGGGACATGTTGCTTATCCACGGAGGTCGTGGGCATCTATGTGGCTTTGATAGCATCCTTGAAGCTGGGTTTGAGAAAACAAAACAAGAAAAGGTCTCTCCTGGTAGTTGGCCAGCCCACCAAAGCCTTCCTCAGCCTTTCCATAGTAACAAAGTGTCCCACGTCAAGGGGTGGTTGGCCTGCAAGGAAGGAAGTGGATCAGGGCCTCAGGCAGCATCTCCAGTTGTTGGTAACTGGATTCCGTCTACTTCCTGATTTTTAGGTAATGCTGGACAGAGGCCCAGCCATGCACATTGGAGATGTCTAGACCCCCATTTTCCTGAGGCCGTTGACATCCTTCAGACAGGTTGCAGTGCCATCCTTGGGGACCTTCGTAACCCTCACTTCTGTATGTCAGTCTTTACAGGGAAAATACAATGTATCTGTGGTAGTAAAGAACTTAGTCATATTGTGTGTGTGTGTGTGTGTGCATGCCTATGTTTGCATTTGTGCACACATCTGCGCCCATGTTGTGTGTGCAATAGAGATTGTTAGCCTATATATCCTAGGCAGCATGTCGGCCAGATTTTTTTTTTTTCAATACTCTGGGCCTCTTCCTATTTGGTTACCATCCACTCTGTCCTTGTATGCAGGGCCCATGGGCCAAAACCTCTTCCCCCATCAAAATGACAACCTAGCAGGGGATTATACCCTTCACACCCATTGGGTAAGGCTTTTTTAAAAAAAATCCTGGTGCATGTTGATAATGGGGGGGGCATGACCCATCAGAGGCAAGGGACAGATGGCCACGCCAAGAACTGGTTGGACATTGATGGGTACAAGGGGGCAGTTTTCTTCTCCGGCATGTGCTGGTTAATCTCCAAGATTTATCAGGATAGAATGAGTTGAGAAACCCAGGTACTGAGAATTGTTAGAAGAGATGGTGAATGTGGGGGCTTCCTTGGTTGGCGTCTCTTCTTCCTTTTAGATACATCATTCACATTTTTCTGTGGTCTCTTCTTGATGTAATAACAGTGCCCCCCAACATTCCCCCAGCTTTTCCAGCAGCCCTGATGGTCCCCCTTTTACAGATGAAGATTCCAAGGTAGCCTGGACTCTTGGTGCTGAGCTTTGTCTGTAGAAGTCTCTCTCACTCTCCTCAGCTGTCCTGGCATCATTGCTTTGGCTGTCTTGGACCCTTCCCCCACTTTGTCCCTGCCCCAAGAGACCTCTATCCATGGACCTGTCTCCCAGGACCCTTCAGGTGGATGGATGTCTTATGTGACTCAGTGAGGGCTTTGAAAGCCTGGGTCTTGCTTTACATCATGAGAGGAAAGCTGGAAAATGAGGGGGGTTGTTCCTGTTCCATCAGATGGTTTGGGTTGAGCCTGTTCAAAGACAGGCATACGGAGGAGTTCATGGGTGCTCCGATCCCTCCTGGTGAGCACCAGGCTACTTTCTCAGAAGCAAGTGGCGGCTTTGGGAAGCAGATGTGCCTTCTTTCCCTCACCTGCCTCTCCATCTTCACTAGATCCTTGAAGCAGGCGGTTTTCCCAGCTGACACATTCTGGAGGCTGGAAGTGGCCCCCTGTACAAAGGGCCTTGCATTCAATTAATATTTATTGAGTGGCATAAATCAGCACAAAAATGAAGTACAGTAAATTCCCTGAGGTAATTGGGATAGTACCATGATCACTCATTACCTGAAAACCATTATTAGGCGGCGACTACTGACTGTCTTAGACTTAGATTCAAGTAGAACTAACCTGGACTTATACTATGTTCCAGTATGATGCTGGGCTGTGAGCACAAAGGGAGCTTCTGGGTCATTAGGAATCAGAAGGAAGAGGAACAGCACATGGGTTCCAACTAGGAGATGGGGATTTGAGGATGCTCATGCGTCGGGAAGGGAGAGTAGTGGGAGGGTGTCCAGATGGCCAAGAGAAGCGGGGGGACTCAGCCCACATTGGAGGCTTGGTCCTGGGAGCAGAGGTGGGCCCCGTATGGCAAGGCCTTTCTATAGTGGCTCAGATGATACTCTGAGAAGTTTGAACTTGATCTGGCTTTCAACGAGGAGT